TCTATCTATCTATCTATCTATCTATCTATCTATCTATCTATCTATCTATCTATCTATCTATCTATCTTCTCTATCACCTATCTCTTCTCTTTCTCTATTGGTCATTTACCTCTACCTCTATCATCTATCCACCCGTTGTCTGTCTGTCTGTCTGTCTACTATATCTACTGTATCTATTTATCCATCCATCATGTCTGTATCTTTATCTGTCTGTCTATCTATCATCTATCTATCTGTTTTCTCTATCACCTATCTCATCTCTTTATCTATTGATCATTTACCTCTATCATCTATCTATCCATCCATCATCTGTCTGTCTGTCTGTCTGTCTGTCTGTCTTTGCCTGCCTGCCTGCTTGCCTGCCTGCCTATATATCATCTATCTATCTATCTATCTATCTATCTATCTATCTATCTATCTATCATCTATTTTCTCTATCACCTATCTCTATCCATTACACACACACACACACACACACACACACACAGTCCTTGAGTTATGACTGCCCATTACAGTGATAAGTCGTGACAGTCATAAAGTAGATTGATAGACTAATTAACACAATTCATAGAGCAATTAGCCATTAATGCTTTGATAGGAAAAAGATAATGTGGTGAGGTTATTATTGGCAGCCCCTGAAAGATTTATTCCAAGTGGTAAGGGACTGTAAAAGGTGGCTTATTTATGGAATGCTCTCTCCTTGTCTTTCCTTGTACAATCCAGGTTATGTTTGAAACCTACCAGTTTGATGGTGTCTATATTGCGATCCAAGCTGTGTTGACACTTTACGCTCAAGGTAAGACAGCTTTTTGTGGAGAAATTGAGAGTTAAGCCTTTAGCCACAAAACTCTGGGTTGCACCCACAATTTTGCCAATCTGGTTACTGAACTAGATGACTCATTTTCTGGCTTACAAACCTGGAACCAGCAACAAACCAAGCAGGTGGCGTTCACACAACAGGCTAAGCCATAGAGCAACTAAATTACATTAAACTTGACATTGTGTTGGTAAGTTGAGGAGTAGCTGTAGGTATCCCATTTTTTAATGGAAAGGCAGGAAGCTGTTTTGATAGCAGAGAAACTCTGCCTTTCGGAGCTCCGATTTCTATGGTTTCAGCATTCAACATCCTTGCACTGATGGATGCTATTTAGTTGGGTTGTGAAATGTTTGCAGGAAAATCACCAAGCTCAGAGAACCCCAAGAACCCCAAAGTCCTTCTCCTTCTCCTTCTCCTCCTCCTTCTCCATCTCCTCCTCCTTTCCCATCTCCATCTCCATCTCCATCTCCTCCTCCTCCTCCTCCTCCTCCTCCTCCTCCCTCTAGCACTGATGATGTTATCTAGTTGGGTAATGAAATATCTGCAAGAAAATAACCAAGCTCAGAGAGCACCAAGGACCCCACAATCCTCTTTCTCCAATTCCATCTCCTCCTCCTCCTCCTCCTCCTCCTCCCTTCTAGCACTGATGAAGTTCCCTAGCTGGGTCATGAAACATCCACACGAAACCCACCAAGATTGGAGAGCTCTAAAGACCCTTCATTTCAACCCTAAGCTAGAAATATTCTCCTTTATTAATTCAACATTCTCCCCTTTGCAGGTCTGCTGACCGGGGTAGTGGTGGACTCTGGAGATGGGGTCACCCACATCTGCCCCGTTTACGAGGGTTTTTCATTGCCCCACCTCACCCGCCGGCTGGATATCGCAGGGCGTGACATCACGCGCTACCTGATCAAGGTGAGCACCAGACCCGTTTCTGATCTCCCCCCCCAGATCATTTTTTTTAAATTATTTTTTATTAAAGTTTTACAATTAAAAAAAAATACAAATCATGTTTGCATTTTTTGCAATACATTGTGGCATTGGTTTTTTTCCATCTTTCATTATTCATATCTATATACATATATACGTACATTATTCATATTTACATTATATATTCACTATTATTATTTTTATCTATCCAAGTATATATATTTTCCCAGACCATATAGAATTCTCTTTTTTCTTTCTCTTGCAACTCCGTTCATTTCCGCACAATCCATATTTTTTTTAATTAACATATTATCCATGGGATTACCCTCCGCTTTCCCATTTTGAGCATAAGTTATTCTCGCTGCTGTCAGAATATGTACTATGAGATATTCAATTTCTTTTTTATATTTGCCTCTAATTATCCCTAATAAAAACATTTCCGGTTTGAGTTCTGTTTTTTCATTTGTTATTTCTTGCAAGCCAAATTTTAATTTTATTCCAGAATTTTTTGGCTTTGGAGCACAGCCACCACATGTAAAAGAAGGTACCTGTTGTTTGTTTACACATCCAACATATTGGACTCCAATTTGCCCCCCCAGATCATTTTAGTGACTGTTCGAAGTTACAACGGCCCTGAAAAAGGTGACTTACAACCAATCCTCAGACTTACAACCTATACAGCATCCCTAAGGCCATGGGATCAAGTTTCAGGGACCTTGACACCAAGCACGCATATAAGAGAATTTTAGCATCCCAGTTTCCTCTGATTGTCATTGGCGGGTTCTAAGAAGCAAAGTCGACGGGGGAAGCCAGGTTCACTTAACAACTGCACTGATTCGCTTAACAACTGCGCTGATTCGCTTAACAACAAAAAATGGTTGCAAAATCAGACGCGACTTTCTTAACAACTGCCTTGCTTAGCAATGGAAATTCCGTGTCCAATTATGGTTTGTAAGTTGAGGA